AAAAATTTGTAATATGGTTTTGAATACTGGTGAAAAGCCCCCCTCTTGGGGTGAAGCTATAATTACCAATATCCCTAAGGAAGATAAAGATCCAAGTAAACCTGAATCCTATAGGCCAATCGCACTTTTAAATTGTGACTCCAAAATTTTGTCTACTATTTTAGCAACCAGATTACAAAAAATTATTTCTGATTATATAAACCCTGATCAAACGGGATTTATCCCTAACCGATCTATGATGGATAATGTACACAGAACACTTAATATTATCTCTCACTGTAAAACCCAAAAGAAAGAGGCTATTTTATTTACAGTTGATCTGGAAAAAGCTTTTGATAGTGTTAGTATAGAATATTTGAAGCATTTATTAGTGCACATGGGCTTTGGAACATCTTTTTTAAATGCAATTAGTTCTATTTATAATAACCCTACAGCTACAATCCGTGTGGATAACACTCTAAGCAGAACTTTTAAAATGAGTAGAGGCACAAGACAGGGTTGCCCCCTGTCACCCTTATTATTTGCCATGGCTATTGAGCCTCTGGCAGAAGCAATAAGGCTATGCCCAGATGTTACTGGTATAAGCATTGGAGGCCAGGAACACCTCATTAGCCTATATGCCGATGATCTTTTAATTTTTTTATCCAACCCGACTTCCTCATTGGAAGCACTACAAAAAATCTTTATAGAAATGCAAATGATAACAGGCTTAAAAGTGAATATTAACAAATCAAAATTAGTCCCTTTATATATAGCCAGTAATTTACAATCTCAGCTGCAATCAACATTTCCATTTAAATGGACGATGGAAAGCTGGAGGTGTCTAGGAGTCCTTATTCCTAATGACCTGAAAGATCTCTTAAAATATAATTTTTTAGAAGTGATAAAAAGCACACAAAAAAAATTTGAACAATGGAAAACACAGAATTTTACTTGGGCTGATAAACTTAACATAATTAAAAGTTTTGTATTACCGAAATTTCTATTTTTGTTCAGGGCATTACCTATTCAAATAGATTTTAAAACATTGAATAAATGGCAAAAGAATTTAACTGATTTTTTTTGGGGATATAAAAAACCCAGAATAAAATTTAGTACTTTGAGAAGACATGTAAAAAAGGGAGGACTAGATTTCCTTGATTTATCTTTATATTATCATGCCACTATTCTTTCTAACATTACTAGGCTACTAAGATCACAAACCAAGCTTTATTGGCAGCAAATACAAGAAGTAGAGTGTAACTCTCCTTCATTATCTGAATTATACTGGAATGATGTTAAATATAGAAAAACTGGTTCATTACAAAATGACTTCTTAAAAACTTCCCTGGCAATTTGGGATATGTACAAGTCCAACATCCTTCCTGAAATTTCACGTTTTTCTGAGTACACAGGCCAGCACTGGTTTCAGCCAGGAACAGAACAGCAGTTGTTCGCCAAATGGAAATCGGTAGGTTTTCGCTGCTTAAATGACTTTATCCATAAAGGGAAGATACTTAGTAAAGCAGAAATGGAGACAAAACTTGGGGAACAAATCCCATGGTTTAGATATCTTCAATTAAGTAATATGTTACAAACCTACTTGAATAAGCAAATTTTTACGTCCCCGTTAATGGAATTTGAAAAGATTCTAAATTGTCAAGACGGTGGGTCAAAAGGCCTAATTTCTAAACTATATAAACTGTTATGTTCAATTAAAGACGTAGGCTGGTTAAAAAGTCAAAACCAATGGCAGTTAGATAGTGCACAACCACTACCTGAAAAAACTTGGCAATCAATTTGGGCTTTACCAAATAACGTTTCTCCAATATTCAGTGTTCGATTTAACACATTTAAAATTCTACACAGGTGGTACTTAACACCATCAAGACTTCACAAAATGAAACCAACCATTCCCTCGACATGCTGGAAACAATGTGGACAACTGGGGGATTTTTCACACTGTTGGTGGCATTGTCCGTCAATCCGAAATTTTTGGAATCAAATCTTAGTACAAATAGGGAAAATTACCTCTATCTACTTACCTGCCTCTATAGAATCGATTGTATTAGAATTAGGACTAATAGATCTAGAGCCCAAAAGCACGCAGATGCAGATAGCAATAATGATTGCAATTGCCAGGATTTCAATAGCGCAATTTTGGAAAGCTAAAGAAGCCCCATCACTTCACTGTTGGCAAAATAAGCTGTGGGAATGTTTTGTACATAGCAAAATCTCGAAGAATATCCATGGAGAAAACATAGAAAGCAAACAAGAAATATTTCAGGCGACCTGGTTTCCGATAATATCATATTTAACGAAAAGTGGTATTGTACCTAAGAATCCATATTATGTAAATTTATTGTATTTTTGAAGTTATTGTTCTTTATATTATGCTATATTCAGATGAAGTTTTTCTAAAGCTTAACTCTGTTGATATCACAGTTCCAAAAATGTTATTTGTCATGTTACATTGTTTGTACGGTTTGTTTGTTTGTTTGTTCTTTTTTGCCTTTTTAATA